ACTTGTGGTTTGGAATAAACCGCTGAAACGAAAGAGGATAGAAATTGGTGGATATTCGAGTACAGGTACTCTCGAGAAAGAGAATAAGCGACAGATATAGTGACGAATGAATGATTAAACTTCATTAGTTCAACCCATGAAAAATGAAAATCACTATTTAGAGAGTCGATTTTTAACAATTAAAACGTTTGAAATCCACTGGGTATCCTACAACTGAAAGGATATATTGTAAAGGCAACTGAAGGAGGATTATTTGGAGACAAAAACTCAAACTATGAAAGTCCGTAGTAAGATTGGATCAGCCTTAAGATTGCAAATAACATTCCGCAGTAAGAACATGACTATTTGCCAAGCAAACAGCAAGAAGACATCAGCAGGTCCTCAAAACTACATTGTTGGCGGCAATACCCGAAGTATTAGCATAGATGTGTTATTAATAATATCGTTTTCGGGGCTTGTGGCTTAGGATAAACCGCTGTAACGAAAGAGGATAGAAATTGGTGGATATTCGGGTGGGGGTACTCTCGAGAGGGAGAATAAACGACAGATATCGTGGCAGTCTGCTGCCTCCTAACCCATTCAACCTCGTTGTATGCACAAGGCACCGTATAACCGTGGCTTGGATTTCCATTGTCCTCACCACGGTAGCGTCCATAATGGAACGTGAGAGTCACCAGAGAGACTGTGTACGTATTCTCCCTCTTCCTCCGCTGCCTCCTATTCCTCTACAGTCTCATTCCACCTAGCCTACTATTACGCAAGTCCACAGGGTTGTAGTAATGAAACGTGAAGAGGGTCGCACAGGGACCGATCCTGCCAATAGGTTGCATTATTGAATCTCCCTTTATTCGAATAAAAAGAAAAAAAACATGAGGGGGACATACAGTCACTAGGAGTTTCAGAATACCCGGACTGGATCCGGCTTAACGACTATAACGTGTTCCACGAAAGCTTTACAATTGGAATGGAGGGAAAAGGCCTTGTGTCGTTTTTTCGCTAGTTTTAGGGGAAACTTTTTCTTCTTTTAGAGACAATCTTTCTACAATTTCGAGGCAAATCGTTCTTTTTTTTTTGCTGTATTCTCAGTCAATTGAGTATTCTGGTCTTCTGCACCTTTAGAATTGGACGAATGTACGTGTAATGGAAATTCGTGAATGATTTCACGAAAATAGATGAATTGAGAGAATTGGGGAAAAAATAGTACCAACAGTTAGTTCATTAATTAACAAGAGGAGATGTCGGAACTTTCATAGTCGACGTCTATACAACTTGCCTGCAAATTAAACGAACGACCCGAGGAGTTGACAGATGACAAAGAGAGTACAAAAAGTCGGTAAATCAATATCTGAACGTGAAATTGTCAACATTTTCCAGACAATGCTCCTTTCATTGCCAGCTCATAGTGACTGCGAACACTTCAAAAACTTTGAGACGTCTATAGTTGTACATACAACTCTGGCACCAATGCATTTGTACACAGAGAATTTTCAAACTTTCTCGACTACACAGTTTGTAGAGGTACTTTTCATTCGTATTGCACTTAACGTTCCGTAGGGAAACAGCTGTCACGTAGTCCCTCGGATACTCAAATAGTAATTAGTAATTAGACGTTGTATACGTGATGAAGCTGGAAACTGGGTCAGAAAATTGGCTTGGAGTTGTAAAAAAAGGGAAAAAAATGGGACAAAATGCGAATTAGGAAGTTGCTATTGTCATCACATGAAGAAGGTTAATGCGTTTACGATTGGCGGAACTGGTTCCAAAAAGTAGTCACATCAGAAAAGGAGGACAGATTGCAACTTCTAACATCAAACCTGGCATATTTGATGTAAACCTTATGTTTTTAAATACATCCAAAGATCAAACTACTTTACACAATCACGAGAACTTCTCAGTTATTGCCAGATAACTGAGATTTCTGCCACTCTCAAGGACCTCAAGAAGTTTGCGAAGAATATCAAATTTCTTTGGTTAGAGAGTGAAATTTAGCATAATCGTACAATGAGGAAGATTTTCAATTCAATAACAAAAAGTCCAAAGAGTGCAACGCGTATTTGAGAGAGATCTATCTTGTCAGCATTTTTCACTCAATAGTTCGAGGATTATGCCCGAGTGAATCTATTACTTTGTCGTCTATTTAGGTTTCTGCGGATGATAAAATATTCTTTGATCTTCGAATGATGTTGATTATTGTATGAGTAATCTCTTGCAGATTTTCTTTCCAAATGCACTGTTTTCGATTTTTTTCAATGATATTTTTTCATTGAACCTGCTTGAAAAAAAAGGCAATTAGTGAATGCCGCAAAACACAGTTTGGACAAATGATTCAGTAATAGAGAGAAGGTATTCGAAAGGTGCGGCCCCCCCTCCCCTCTAGTAGCAATAACTGGTACATTAATTTACTTGTTCTTGAACAAGATGAGACCTTATAAAACTCCCTGATATGAATATTTTTTCTCTTAAATACATAAAATTCACCTTTCCTTTAGGTCTTTTTATATATCTCAAAATCGTCCAGACAGGGTTTCATTTGTCTTTGCAATTAGCTAAGAAAAAATCGCGAGCAGTCTAAACTTGCATCCCACGTAGAATACAGGACCCATTGTTCAAGTTTCACTTGCTCTATTGAAGCCTCATCTCAGGCCTAGAGTGCATTACCGTTTTTTCCTTTTATTAAGCTAGTCTAATAGATGAATAGTTGAGTATAGTTGAGTATTCCAAACGATTCCAATAGGACGATCCAATTTGCTATCGTGATTTCACTGTCTCGGAATATCAGCAGAAAACCCTTAACCCGAGTATTAATAAATGATCTAATGTTATTTGTTCCAACACGAAATAATTCTCCCTTGAATTCATCCAAACAGAACCAAAAAAACACAAGAGGAACATATTCACATCACGCAAAGAGGGTTATGCGTACAAAATTGGCAGTAACTCTAGACTCAAAAACTGCGAGTTAGATTAGGCGGAAAAAAAGCTCAGAACAAAGAAATAAAAAATGCAGAGAATACGGAACTGGTTCAAAAGACTGCAGCGTACAAGAAACAGGGACAAAAAGCGTTTTAACGAAGCTCTTACGTCTCTGTAACTTCCAAACGAAAACGAGTCACGAGAAGGGAATGAAGGGGATGGGTCGGAAGGGGTTGGAAACAAGAAAATGAAATTTCTCGGTAGTACGAAGAGGCATATACGTGTCACGGTAAAAAATTCATCGAGCGTACGAAAGTAAATCCTCCCTGGCTTGTGTTCACTTTTTTGCCCTCACATTACCAGGCCAGGAGCCTTTTGTTTGTCGAAACAATGACGCCAACGCCCTTCCACTCTATCCTCTCGTCTTTCCGCCCAACATTCAAGTTCTTTCTCCAACGGAGGGACGAGACCCACCTCGCGGTGTGCACGATAGAACTTGCATGGTACAAGCTTGCGAGTGAAGGATAAAGGAGAAGGGATTGAACAAAAAAAGGCACAAGTGTGCAAAGAAGCCTTTTCAGTTTCAAAGAGGAATCGAAGGGTAACTTTTATACCCTTTTGTCGAGTCTCTTGATCGTGTTACGTTTTGTTAGATTGGGAGAATTTCCATAGAATTTAACACGGCGGACGATGAGTAGGGGAGTTTGATGTGAGTGGAGCAAGTGGGGTGGATCTACCTTTCAGTATTTTTGCTGCCCTACTGTGTTGATTATTGAGGATGTATCGAATGAATGATAAAATCCACTTCGAAACTTTATCAAAGGAATTGATCCATTTTTGAGGAAAATAAAATCATGTAATTTATCTCTACCACTTTTCTTTACTGTGAAACATTTGAAAGATAAACACCCCATTTGAAATCCTTGTATACTAAATTGTAAATACCTGGCTGAAGGCCCTCGGGCGATGGCCAGTTGCAAGTTCTCGAACGTGCACCAAATTTCGTTAAAAAAATAAAAATAATAAAATCATGTATTTACGACGTAAAGTTGTCGGTAATACTAAAATTAAATGACTACGCCCGGAATATATTATAAATTTTCATAAAATCGGAGCTTTGTAGGTTTCATAGCAGCTGCGTCGCTGCTGCGAACCCTGAGTAATGCCAACTACTGGTCGGGCTTGATATAATGCCTTACCAATCGCTTTTGAATTTCATTTTGAATACCTTAATAATTCAATTTCGTTTAATTACCGCGCCTTTTGAAGGAAGGTGCCGTTTGGGGACACACAGACATCCATATAAGCGAAGAAGTTTAAATTAATTAATCGCAGGCTAATAGGAGAATTATTTGAAATTAATTTGCGCTGTGGACACGCATTCCAAGTATTCCCAAATTGCCTATGTAATTTTTGATTTTTGTTAATACTTGCGTGCAGGCGATCAGTCAAGTTACGATTGTACGTAGGCTATAAATTTCTACGAATCCTAACTGTTTAAATAATGAAAATAACTCAATGTTCATCTAGCAGATTGTAAAAGTCCTACCCGTCTCTTCGAACTCCTTCGATTTTTGAGGAAAATGAAATCATTTCTTTAAGACGTAAAGTGGTCGGTAATACTAAAATTAAATGACTACGCCCGGAATATATTATAAATTTTCATAAAATCGGAGCTTTGTAGGTTTCATAGCAGCTGCGTCGCTGCTGCGAACCCTGAGTAATGCCAACTACTGGTCGGGCTTGATATAATGCCTTACCAATCGCTTTTGAATTTCATTTTGAATACCTTAATAATTCAATTTCGTTTAATTACCGCGCCTTTTGAAGGAAGGTGCCGTTTGGGGACACACAGACCTCCATATAAGCGAAGAAGTTTAAATTTATTAATCGCAGGCTAATAGGAGAATTATTTGAAATTAATTTGCGCTGTGGACACGCATTCCAAGTATTCCCAAATTGCCTATGTAATTATTGATTTTTGTTAATGCTTGCATGCAGGCGAACAGTAAATTTATGATTGAACGTAAACTATAAATATCTACGAATCCTAACTTTTTGAATAATAAAAATAACTCGATGCTCACCGAGCAGATCGTAAAAGTCCTATCGCCTCCTCGAACTCCTTCCTGCGAAGAAGCTTTTGAATCCTCTTCATTGCATCGGCCCTGAAAGAAATATTCTGTCGTAAAAGAAGTAATACGAGCGGATTTTTCATTTTCATCGAGAAGAGGTAAAATTCTGTACTTTTGCTCTTCGATCGGAGTGTCCAAGGTGGCATCAAAGGGAACGACAGTGGGTATAATTCCATCTTGCATAACTGCTGATAATTCTGGCCCTGCATCTTCCCATCTCTCCTCAAGGCTTTTCGCTGGCTTCGTCGGCTCTTTATTGGAGTTTTTAACATTTTTCTTGCGAGGCTTTCGCTTTAGCTTTGCCACCACTAAACTTCGAGACTGAGTAACGAATTGCTCCAACATTTTCAAGAATATGTGGGCAGTTGTAACAAGATCAACCAGGTAAGACCTAAAAATTATAAAAATTTCAGTACCTCTCGGCTTCCTCCGTTCGAGGGGATTTACGGATTTGTTTTGTCTATATTCTAAAAATTCAAATCGTCTTCTGGTGATAAAAATATGTACTTGAAATGAAGACTCCAAAATTAGGGGTCGCAAGGGTCAAAATAATGGTCATAAAGGTCAGAATAAGGGTTATAAGTGTCAAAATGAAGGTCACGAGGTTCAGAATAAGGGTCGCAAGGGTTCAATTAAAGGTCATGAGGGTTAGATCAAGAATCATGAGGGTCACAAGGATCAGATTAAGAGTTACAAGGGTCAAATTAAAAGTCACAAAGTTAGAATAAACGTCGAAAGGGTCAGAATAAGGGTCACAAAGGTCCGATTAAAAGTCATGAGGGTCCGAACAAAGTTCACGAAGATCAGAAAAAGGTCACGAGGTCGGATTAAGGGTCACAAGGATCAGTTTCAAGGTCACAAGGGTCAGAATAAGGATTATGGGGGTTATAAAGGGGTTGGCTAGGGGAGAGAGCAGGGGCCGTAGCCCCCTAATATTTTTCTATGAATTAAATCTCCACAATTTATTATTCATCATTGTGAACTCCAGAAATAGTATTGGTACTCGAAATTACGTAGAAAATTGATTTTATAGGGAATGCTTATTCAACCATCAAGAGGAAATTTTTTTATCTACTGTAAATATTATATCTTTTCTGCTGCATCACTGGCGCTGCCAATGCAATAAAGAATTTATCGCAATCATCTCTCACTCGTTCAATATTGAAAATTGAAGTCTGTTTCTGAATGTATGAAAAACCCATTGAATGAATTTGTAAGCCACTCAATGACATCGATAAAAGTTGTTTATTCCGTCGAAGTACCAGAGAAAGATAACGAAAAAAGAAGATGAAGGGTGAAGAATAAGTTAGTAGATGGTAGAGGAGACTGTGGAAAGGGGGAGGAATTTTAGCAGAGGCCCACAATTGGTACGAGCTGGAGTCAATATGTCTGCGGTAGATAAAAGTTTTGGTAAACAGTTGTCTCACCCCTTACCCCTCTACCCTACCCTTCACCACTACTGACAAACAACGCAAGTTGGAAGAGCCAGTCACAGTGACATTCTGAAAAAAAAAACGAGGAAGAAAAACGAGGAGAAGAAGAAGTTGATGGCTCACATCGATTTTCCTAACCGTTCTTTTTTACTCATACACTTGGAGTATTAGGTTATTGGCTGGAGACTGGGAAAGTTCAAGAGGCACCAAACGATTGGATATAACGCTTCGAAAAGTAGTAAACTACTTTTGGCTATCGACTTTGGCAGGCATCGAAAGTATAAGAAAGAAGAACCAAGTAAACTTGTAAATCTGGGGTTTCATAAGTGTATAATTTTTTTTTATCTTCCTCACTGCATGAACGAACAAAGCTTAAGACAAATGAGTAAAAAAATCAGAGGTCGATCGCTCGCATCCGGTTAGGGTGGGACGGGTAGGGGTTGATGGAATTTGGTGTGAACCATTCTAGTTCAAACCAATAACATTCCAACCAATTTCTCTCTTTTGGTTTATAGAAAAACAAGTGGCAAATTACTTTCGTCGCAACATCGTTAATATATTGTTATTATAAATTAGCTATTTGCTTCTGAATAGAAATTCTATGACGATGGATTTTAAATTGAATTCAATGACTCATCCCTAAGGTTGACATTGCCCCGACGTTAAAATTTTTCCTCTTTCCCTGAGAATTGATTTAAAAATAATCGATCGTGATCGAACTCGGCCAAGACGGCATTTGGCAGAATATTTTAAATCACAATTGAATTCATTTCGGATTTCACGAATACACTGCTTCCATTTGGAAGCAAAAAATCGCGTATGAAAGTTTTATCTGAATAATTGCACGTAATTTATGGAAATGACTGAAAAACAGCTGAGATGATCATATTTAAAATCAGCAGCCAACTCCCACGTCTCGACCTTGGGGCTATGAATGGTTAAAAATTACGACTTAGAGGAAGTCGCAAACTCCCTCTGGTGGCATTATTGGAACAATGACAGAGATATATGCCGGTCTCAGTCCCTGAGAAGTTAGAGGGAGTCGACTGTAATCCGTTCAAAGTTCCATGAAAATGCTTGAATCGCATTTAAAAAAATCGAATCGCACCATTTGTTCCGAACAACTTCAGAAGATTCTAAGGGTCATAAAATGTGCAGAAATCATAAAATTCCGACAATCGATTTTTGGAGTCATTACAATAGCTTTCTCCCCTCGGGCCAAGAAGTTAATAAATTATCCAGTGAAATGTTTTCGTGTCAAATTTTCGATTTTTCAATCTTCAAGTGAAACTCACTTGGAATGCTATAGAATGCAAAGATGGCGAATGTAATGCATCATACAAGTAGAATAAAAAATTGAGAGCAATGAAAAATTTCAAGAGGTTTTGTGCAGTATTACTTCAACTCGTGACATGAATCACGGATTTTCTCACATTAACGATTCCATATTCCTACCGAATTTCAGCTTTTTCCTACCCGTAACAAATTTGAATTTCGTATATACGTGAGATTTCCTGAATTATTCATTACCCGAGAAAATTCAAGTTCTTCAAATTTTTCCTTTTTCTTTATCTATATAATTAAATCCTAGCACTGCTGTATGCAAAAAGCTACCAATAAAAAGAAACTCCGTAATATCAAAACTTTTCCCCCGAATGTGAATTTAAAATGTGTTTCATTAGCACTTCGAAACTCCCGACCTATTTTACATCGAAGTCACATACAAATTGGGTATAAAACGTTCAATATTCAAATGTTCAGGGGAATATGAGAAAATTAGAGACAAGTAGAACGGGTGTATAGCTGGAAACTGCTTGGGAATACGATGGCTCGGGCAATGATCGTTAAACGTTATTAGGAGATCAAGAGAGAAAGGGGGAGGATGGAAAAGCGAGAGTTAAGCGTGATACTAACCGTGACATTTTAAGTCCGTCGTAGCACAGAAGTTGAGAGAGTATCGTTTCCCGATATTCTGGAACGTAAAATACGTTACTCTTAATGACCCTGCTTGAATCCCGTATACCTTTGTCTGTCATTTTATCCATGGCGAGAATAGTGTGTAGCAGCTCCTAAACAAAACATTTTTATTTTTGATTACACACAATAGTTCATGGTGACACGAATTATTGGAATAAAAAATGAACATTTAAGATTTAACGAAGTCTTTTAATATCCGTAAGAACTCTTTGCATTAAGACTAAGTAGGTTTTTGGTACTGAATTTGGAATTTTTTTTTTTCTAAACTTGAGGAAACAGCTTTTTGTTCTCAGTACTGGCCCTTCAGAAAAAATAACTTCCTTAAGGGTAATCGGGCGAGCTGGGAGGGTTGGAAAAGAAGCAGCCATTTTTCNTTGAGAATTCACAACCAAAAAAATTGAGTCGGTAAGTTTTTCAAAAATATCTCAAAAACTAAGAGAGATTGCGAATTTTTACTGGAAAATTGGGGAAGGGGGGAAAGGGGAATATTAGTAGATTGTAGAAACTCCAATTCTTAAGGATAATCGGGCGAGCTGGGAGGGTTGGAAAAGAAGCAGCCATTTTTCTCTTTTTTTTACGTATTCTTTAAATGATGGAAAAGGCGTGTGCAAAGTTTCAGACTGCTGGGGAGCATGGTTAATTTATTATGAATTTTTGAAAAAGTGGTCATTTAACCCGTGATCTTATGGAAATTACAAAAAAACTGCAAAACCCAAGGAAAAAATGCAGCCAAAGTCATGAAACTTTAGACACATTTAGAACATGTGATCAATGATTTTTTGAGTGAAAAATATTGTCGCCTAGGAGCATTGTTTATTAATAATAGCGAAAAAAGTACTGAAAAATGAAATTTCTGCACACGCAACCCAAACGAGCAGCAACGTCCCAAGTACCGATCGGGTGGGGGTAGCGCGGTCAATTTTTATGTCTTCAAATAAATGTATGCAAAGTTACAACCCTAAAAAATAATTTATGTTCATTTACCAGCCCATTGAAAATCGTCAAAATTTGAAATCGAGAATGGGGGGGGTCCCCTTAAACGTCTTTTGAGAGAGAACGATGAAGCGTTCTGATTGGAGCTCCCTCGAGCCCGTAAAATAAATTTGATTAGCTCCAAAAATAATTTTTAACTGGAGTAACTCTCTAATATTGCCTGAATTTTGAATCCGAATGGGTAAAATTTTTTTGTTCAGCGATTAGTTTTCGGAAGGAAAACAATAGAAACCCCTCCGCCTCACCTCCTAAATTTCCTCCTCGCCCGATTATCCTTAAAAGGATCAATGAACTCTAAATATACTGTTATGGAAGCATCATAATTAAAAATACAATGTTTAAGAGTCGAAAGTCAAAAACTACCCCATGTTTATCTAAGGATTTAAGATAGAAAACGTTAATTTTGTTATATACCTGTTTTTTAAGTAAATAACTGTAAAGAACTGTAAATGATTATTTGATAATGAATAAAAACATGGTTAACTGAGAAAAAGGTCTATATGTGATCTGTAGATGTTGGGCTTGAGGGGTTAAAAAAACTCCGCTCTCCTATGCTAGCATTATCCCTATATTGATAACACATCCCGTCAGAAATCCTAGTCTCCCCGCCGCCCAACTATGCTTACGTAATCCTTGAATTTCCGCCACTTGATTCTGAAAACTAGAAGCTTTTTCCTCTATGGAGCAGCTTGCAATGACATAACACCAATGGAATAATGTCCACAAATGAAATAAATTGGAGAAATACGGCCATCAGATTAACGTTACAGTAGCAAATATTGATTGCTAATTAACCAGTAACGTGCATCCTACCATGACACGTCATCCCACATGTGTGCACTGCACAATGATGTCCATCGTGCTTACTGGCTTTCCATTATATTATTTTGATTAAATCTTCCATCATATAATATCTCGGTAAACATGGGTAGTGATTGACAGGAAATAATAATGCTCGAAGCTACACTTTGAAATTACGTCGATGCTGAACTACAGAGCGTAATGCGGTATGCCGTATGCATTAATATAATAGTTCATTACAGGTGGCAATCATGTTCATAATTATGACGTGTCACGTTTACATGGACAATCCTTTTCAATTATCTTCCAATGTTTATTCCAAGAGAATTTGATCATTTATTGAAGGGTTTAATTAGGTCGGAATTCAAAGCCAAAGAAAATGGAGTCGGTGAGTTTTTCAAAAATATCTCCGAAACTAAGGCAGATAGCGGATTTTTCCGAATATTTTTTGTTACCCGAACTTTCGAATTTTCTCTCAGTGTAACTAGCAAGTCAGCTGTTGTAAACGAAAAGTGAATGCCGCAAACGAAAAATCACTTTTCGTTTACTATCGTAAAAGTAACGAAAAGTGAGGCTTTACGCACAAAAATCTATGAAAGAAAAGGGACTTTTCCAAGCACGTGTTTCAAAGACAATTATGTTGGATCACTGAGTCAAATTTATAGAATTCATTTAGCTACGAAATGACGGTTACAAAAACGACTCGACGTGGGGGGTACCAAAGAGTCGCTCGAGAATTTACATAAACCTAAACAATGATTTCATAGGGAGAAAGAACAGAAAGTTCTTTCATTAGGTGACGAATATTCTGGTCTGTTGGTTTTTGTGACCAACATTTAGTCTCCTAGAGAGATTCGTAGAGAGTAGACGTTTTTTCCTCGTGCGATTTTAATAAAGAAAAGAATTTTAAATTCAATCAACTGCATTTCATATTTATTTATATATCCCATGTCCGATAGATTAAAAGCAAAGGACTAACGCCTAATGGCTACAGTATGGCTGAGGCAATTCAGTTACGACTAGACCGAGTTTTTAGCTACGAATGTAGTTATGGGCATAACGACATCGGATTGGTCGAAAATGAAACGACAACGCGATCTTTCAAACAGTGACATCGGGATAAACTCCAAGTTGTAACTAGACAGTTCGCTGTTATAACCGAAAAATAACTTTTTGTTTACTACCGTAAAAATTACGAAAGGTGTCACTTTATGCACAAAAATCTGTAAACGAAAAGGGCACTTCCAAACACGTGTTTCAAAAAAAGCTTTCAAACTAGCTGCAAAAGGCTACATCAAACAAAATAACAATCAACACAATCATCGCCCCTATAAACATTTGGAAAAACCCATAAATATTCACCTGATAAGCCTTCAGCGCCAAATGCAAGCGTTTCGACCAATAAGGAATCTTCTGTTTGTCCATTGTCATGGATTCGTAATATTCCTCCATTTGACGTTGAACAAAATAAAACATCTCAGTAGAAATAGTCTCACTGTAAATAAAAGGAAAGAAGTGAACATCTACTTGATTCCACTATTATTACCATTGTCTTCAAACAGAATGAAGAAAGTGCGCTATTGGATTTTTACCTAACAAGCTTGACCTGGAACTTGTAATTACGATTGAATTCCATGAAGAAACGCATAGCCCAGAGATAATGGCTTGCATCAGCTGCTGCTGAATGGCCCCCACCAATTATACAAGACTTGGCGTATCTCATTACAGGGTTGTAAGCCCCATTTAAGAATTCCACGCAGAATTCTTTGAGGAATAAACGAACAGTCAGGGCGGATGTTCGTTCCTGTGGAGCTTCTTCAATACGAACTTTATTCTTCGGTTTCTTCAGTTTTACCTGGAGTTGGAGGATTTTATTATTATAGTGATTCATTTCATGTTTCAGGCGATGTTTGAGTGAAATCGGTGATAGAGTGGAGGAACGTGGCAATTTAAATTGATCGAAGCTCAATTTATGAATTCGTAGGACTTATTGGACTCAGAACAGGGCGACACAATATGAAAATGCGTCTGATTCACTTATACTTATATTGATATTACAGTCTATACCTCTGTCGAAGGTAATTTTATATTTATATTTGTTTACTCTATTTTTGTTTATTAAACAATGAAAAAGAGTGATAGTTCATTACTTCATTATTCTTATTCTTTTTCTGCAAAGGACATTCTCTCCACAGATTGAAGGATATCCAACTACGTCGTTCAAATCAGCAACTTTTTCAAGCAAGATTTCAATTTTACCCAAAATCTTGCCATTTCTTGCAAGTTAAATAAATTTTTCCGGAATTCGGACCGAGAGTGACGGGCGAAAAAATTTAATAGAAAAACCTATCGAATTCGTTAGAAAATTCTATTGAACTGTTCTATTAGTTTTTGGCCGATTCTATTGAGATGGTCAGTAGAAGATATTCAGTAGAAAAAGTTAATAGAATTCAATTTTTATATATAACTTATTCTATTCAGATATTTTCTATAGAATTTCCTCGGCTCAAATTTTACAAGTTTTTTCGTTTGATTTTCTTGATGAGAAGAAAATAAAAATAGAATGAAAAAACCTTAGAAAATTCGAGTCGAGCAAATTCTATAGAAAATATATGAAAAGAATAAGTTATATAGAAAAATCGAATTCTGTCGACTTTTTCTATTGAACATGTCAATAGAATCAGCCAAAAGCTATTAGAAAATTTAATAGAAATTCAATAGAATTGTCTAACGAATTCGATAGGTTTTTCTATTGAATTTTTTCGTGCGTGGTAGCTCCGGACATTTTACAATGATTTTATTATTTAAACTTTGCAGCTCCAAATTTGAATCTCAATATTGAACTGTAAGAAAAGATATTTAAATAATAAAATCAGTGTAAAATGTCCGGAAACTTGGAGTCAAACGAGGTTTAAATGAAAGACATCATCAGAGGTCTGATGGTAGACTGCAAAAGTAGGAAAGCATTTCACTGGAGAAAAAATAGTCAAAGTACCTGGATATCCTTAAGACTCCGAATGAGGGGATTGAAGGTGGGAGTACGCAACCTCTTATGAATGCAATGTATCAAATTCAGTAGCGAAGCGGTAAAACGCTTGAAATCGATTTTGACTATTGGTCAATTTTGAATGAATATCTCGGAATCTAAGGCAGATAGCAAAAGTTTTGTTATAACCTTTTTTGTAAAGCTGATTGAGAGCTATAAAAAATGTAATTACGATAATTTCGCTATCTCCATTAAATTTAAAGATATTCCTGGAAAACTCAGCTAAGAGCTAAGTCGACTCAAATCGTTTTACCGCTTCACTACTGAATTTCATTTCTCAAAATTCGTTTTCGCGAAAAAAATGTTCGGAAATTAAATTTAATATTGTGCCTAAAAAATACTCTTGATGTTATATTCTATAAACTCTAAAAAGGATCTTCCCAAAAAAATGCTCGGACTACTTGGCAATCGTTAATGGAAATAAATGGTACTTCTCTTACATTCTACTAATAAAATACTCAGCAAATCTAGGATTAGTTACCCATAAAAAACTCACTCCCGCGCTGTGTTGGCATACTGAGTTTTACTACTTCGCTATTCAATTCAATCCACACTTGAATAATTCATTTACGAGAATGCCTGATGTTTACAGAACCGGAATTAATCTTTTCTTTATGACTCCTCTCCATTATTCACTCGAAAATATTTTATTTGAGGACGAGGCAGAGGGAAGGGTCAAAACCGCGCCGAAAATCCTTGTGAAACTATTTAAACATTTTTCCTATTCACCCTTTAATGTCGGAGGGTTCATTGAAGCGACTAGTACTACTGAATGAAAACGAGAGATATAAAAAAGTAATGAGTGCATTTTACAGGGGAAAAAGAATAAATGGAATAGTCACTGACCCAGTTTCGAGTGCTAGAAAGCGTTAAGCAAGACCGAGTACGATTATGTTCTGAAATATAGCTAATTAGCAGACGTATTTCCATATGTATCCCAGCCCCTTTCTTGCTCCGACCTAGTAATGAAAGCTATCGCTAAAAAACCAAGTGCTAATTGAATGGACCTTATTTCCCTGGTTCTTCCATTCCACTTTGCCTCTTTATCGCAAGAGAGACGGCGAATTACGCCACTCGATTTATCATTTTCACGCGAGTTAATTTCATTTTTTTACTTACTTTGTCACGAGCGAACTCGAGGGCTTCAATTTTTTCAAAGGGCTTGTGACAGATCAATTGATTCTCACCGATTGCTTTCATGTTTTTAACGACGAAGGTGCCACCGAATCTTGAGTGTCTGGAATTGGAAAAAAGACATTGTAATTTGTCTTAAACAAACTTAACACTTGAATGTGTCTTTAAAATTATCGTGAGAATTCCTAATTTAGCTCCAGATTCTCAAAACTGTAGACTTTCTTATCATAATAATATACAACATTGCTATGGAATTATATGGCATGATTTTTTGTAATTATATTCTTGAATAAATCAATCCAAGAACAAAGTTTTTTTTTGTTTTGGTAGAATTCGTTTTTAGATGTGGTTAATGAAAAAATTCTCCAATTTCAAATTCAAGAGTTCAGACGATTATTTCTTCAATATTGAAAATAAATCTACCGACTGATGGGAATCTCTCAAATAATTTCGTTATCTGAATTGATAAAATCTGTTCTACCATTTATTCAGTTTAAATTGATAACATTCTCTCTTTCTCCGCAACGATTTTCATTGCATCAGCAGAAAATAATGAAGCTGCACAATAATAAAGCCGGTACTCATCGAAAGCCGCTTTAGCCACTTCACCGAGGGATTTTTTAATACAACGAAATTTCATGAACTAAATCATAAATAACCAATCATGGAACATAGATGGGAAATTCAACCAAGAAAAATTAAATTCTTTACTTCGTAAAATCGATGAAGCAGATAATTTGATTCTAGTTGAAACTGTTGCTACCACATGATAACGTTCACGTTTGCTATCGAATATTTTAATAAAAAATGCCCAAATTGCAAAGTTCTATCGCCTCGGCATAACGAAAACTTTGAATCAATCGCGTCTGCCGGGGAAAAACAAATCCAAAATTTCAATTCGATAATTTTTTTTATTAATTCTAAATTTAAGAGAACCGACGTCGGTGGCCGAATGGGCTAGAGACTGTAAATTCCAGCCGATTATCATTTAAACATTTTGGATGGACTGAAGAGCTTATATTGTTGGAAAATATCCATCTTTTCTGGTAGTCTTTGTGTCATTTGTTGTAATAGAACTTTTAAAAGATTGAAGCATCGCTGTTTTAATTCCAGTGTACAACCTGGATCAATTTCGCATATGGATAGTTCTTGCATAAATTTGTGCCCATAATCTACCGCTTTCACAGATAGAAAAGCACGTTCATTTTTCCCGATGTGTTTGAAGCATAAACGCGGGTTATTATTTTTATCGTCAATTTATTCCACAAATTAACGGCAAAAATTGATGAGACTTCATGCCCTTATTTTTTAGTTTAATATAGATAAATATAGCTAATGGGCATAAAGCCCATGTATGAGCGGAAATTTCAATGATTAATTAAAAATAAACGAGACGATAAATCTACTCAGAGTTCTTCTTTTATTCTATAGAAAAATGACTTTTTTTTGTTGCTGCGAAAATTCCGAAATCGCCCAATTGGCGACAAGTCGCCCAACCTGGCAACCCTGGCTAGTGTCTAGAATTGACGCAAGAGATCCGATCAATTAGCCCCTCATGTATAGATATTCCAAATTTTTATTTTTTTCCTCATTGAAGTAGTTTTGAAGAAAATTGCGAGCTAATAAAAAACATTTGCTAGTTAGTACTTTTTTAAAAATAAAATTTGAAAAATTACCTCTGAAAAAAAAGGCGTTATCCCCTCTATTTCATTATTTCCAAAAAATTTTATCACCAATCGATAGCAAATTGTTTGAAGATTTTTGCGAGTTAAGAAAAAATCGTCAATGCAATCCTATTATTGTGTAAATTAACAATTCCAATTTCAACTGAAAACCAGAGTTGATGACCAGAGTTTGTAACAGAGATGTCAGACAAGATATGAATTTTTTTTTTGGCTCAAATGAAAGAGCGGCTCGAAAAATGGCGTGCAGAAGTCTTTAAAGATGACAAATGTCTCTAAAGATGATGTCTGTTTTCAATTGAAAAGCGCAATTGTGACAACATTGTCCAGTGGGGTCTAGGAGTCTCCCCTGGTTCAAAACCATCTTTAGAGGCCCTAGCACGCCATTTCTCGACCCGCTCTTTCATTTGAGCCCAAAAAAACATTCATATCTTGTCTGACATCGCTGCTACAAACTCGGGTCTTCAACTCGGGGTTTCAATTGAAAGTGACTCAAAAGCCGTTAAAAAAAATTGAAGGGTGCGAAAAGGAAAAGTCCCGTTTCGTTTACAGATTTTCGTACATAAAGTGGCACTTTTCGTACCTGTTACGATAGAAAACCACAAATGTCACACGTTACACGTGTGAAAAAGGGGGAACGTTAAACTCGTGTATTAATATTTTTAGCAACAGTCGTAGGACACGCGCGGCCTCGCGATAGGTGAGATAAGCCAAGTAGAGGTGCCACTGTCTCTAAATACATTACCCTATTCGTATTAATATTCCCCCTTTTTAGCGTCTACGGGGCAAACGAACAATAAACAATTAATTTTTTACACTAATTATTCGTTTTTAGACATATATAATCGGTCTTCAATATATCAAAAATCTCACTCCAATAGCACGCGACTTTTGAAACTTATAGTAGACTCTCCTTAACATAAATTTCACTTAATTATTTCTCGTCACATTAACTTCTATTGAAAATTCATGTGCTTCATGAATTTCATGTAATTCATGTACCTTAGATTTTAATCTTTAAAAAACGCGGTATATTCATACTCTTTAAAAAATGCAGAATCATAACATTCATATCCCATTTCAGTAGGAAAAGGCACTGGAACCAAAATTCGCGAATTTTCCCTCACGTAATTCTACCTTTGAGGTTTTGCCACTAAAATGATCTTTTCACCTCTATTTCTGGCATTACCCACTGTCTCTCTGAGTCCGGTACCGCCAACGCACTCCACATAAAGGTTGTACACCCGCTCATTGTAAAAATGTCGGCGTACTTTTCCCCAACAAGTGGATAAAAACTACGTCTATTCATCTGCCTGTTCTCTCGGAGATAAAAGAAAACTAGGTCATAATCATTACATCCTCATGGATATGCTCTACAAATCTCATTTCGAGACAATTTTGCACGAAAAATTTTTACCTCCTCTTTAGTGGATTTAGTCCACATTGTAATGTTCATTATGTGGAAAGTCCCCAAGGATAAAAAAAATAACGTTCAAAGAAAGTGGGAAAACAGGAAGAATATTTCGACTGTAAAATTAATCCTTCAGCGTTTCTGTTGGCAGAAAGAAGTGACTTGGATGGTTAAAGGAGATGGAGAATTACTGTAGGATCATTGAAATTTTGCCTGAAGGTATTTTCGAAAGAGAAATAGAAAAGTTTTCCTTTGAAGCTCTGTTACCCTAAACGTAAAGGGAAAAATCGCGTTTTTAAACAAGTTTTTGGTTGAATAAACAAAATCAATTAATAAAATCAATTAATTCAATTAATCTGTTCATCTTATCAATATAATTCTGCACTTATAATGTTGTGATCTTGTGATTTCAGGAACAAATTAAAAATTGAAAGTAAATTTGGAATATTTCGTGAAATTTTGTATTTGGATATTAATATTATTCATTCAAAGTGAAAAAAATCGATCATCATTTTCACTATATTGCAGTCAGATTTTCCTATCCTTAACGTCGAAAATGTGAGATAATCTCATAATTCTATCTATTAATTATAATCAACTTTGTTCGAAGAAAACCTCAGTAAGCACAATATTAAGAAAATAGAATTATTCTATTTTCCTCTGACATAAATGATTTGGACAATTATCATTCGTTTATTCATGTTTCATAGAATGGTATTCAATTATCTTTCGTTTGTTGAAAATCTCCTTGCAAACCTGGAGTCGTTATGCACCAAGACTTGCTAATTACAATAGAAAAAGAAGATTCAAGACAAGAATAAATTCATACCTGGATCCAGAGTACTTCTTCACCTTCTCTAATTTCTCAGTGATTTCTCTACGTCTTATAGCCAATAACTGGGCTTCCTCTCGTTCCTTCTCAGCAGCACTGCGTTGCAATCCAACTGAAGCCAATTTAGTAGCATTTTGTTCACGTAACATCAATGCAATGATCTGTAAGATATTTTTTAAAAAATTCATTCCTCACTCCACGTGACGCTGATCCATCAGAATGGAAAAGATGCAATGTAGACATTGTTACCTCGAGTATTTGCATGTGATACTGCTGCTCACTGCTGTTACTGGCAATAAACAAGAGTAGATCAACAATTCCAGAAGAATGGAGGGCAAATAGCAGCTGAAATTCAATTTACGAGTGAATCAATACGAGATCATTCCCCTTTCTTCGTTATACAATATTTTCATCTATTAACTGCATGATTGATAATAAATAATAGCAGTAGGTACCTCATCGTGAACAGTTGCGTCATTGTCCGCTCGTTTTTCGTTGTCATCTGGTGGTACTTGGATGACGTTTCTGATTAATGTGAGAATTCTCTCGATGATTAATTCATTCTCTTCCCCTCTTTCAGCACTTTCCTGAGAAATAAAAAAGTTGGGTAATGAAAAAACGGTCCATTAAATAAATAAGAGTAATCAATAATCAATAGATTGAAGGTCTGAATCATTCAATTAAAAATTAACAAGTGGGAAATTGCTTCCGAATTAATATAGTATAGTTTTGTTGGTAATAAATTGGCAATATGCTTCCGAATGCTCATTTTACACATCATCTGCTTCTATAGTATTTCATTCATAACGTTTCCATAGAGTTTTATTAAATTCAATGAAACTCCTTCTTTAATCAATTGTATTATATTTTTAATTTAGGTTAATATTTGATGAAATTTCAAATGTGAAATAATATATATCTATCCCATCCATTTATTCGATGGAAGTGAAGTCGGAGTAGGTCGTTTTAATGATAATTAAATCAGTTTTAACCTTTTTTTTTTATTCAAATAATCAATGGAAGTAAATATTCCAAAAGATGGAAAATCAATAAACTTTTGAGTGCTATGAGAATAATTTCCGAATCCTTGTATAAATGGAACGGAAGAATAACGCTATCTATATTATGGAATGAATTTGAAACATCATATTTGAAGAAAATTCTAAATTTACAAAAATTATCATAAAAATCAAACCAACGAATATAGGTATCGTAACGATCTTTCAACTTCGACAAAGTGATTTTGAAACTAATATTTTTAAATATAATTGAATGAATTTAGAGCATGATATCCAAAGATACCCTCGGAATTGTAATTTTTGTAAAATACAAAATTTTTGAAAATTATTCTAAAAATCAAAACAACGATTACAGCTATCGCCTTCATCGTGGAACTCGGTCGGAGAGACATCCAAAGAATGTTTTTAAACCATCGTGCAATAAACTCAGAACATTTTTTTAGTTATGGTGGGACAACCGATTTTTCTTTAAATTACAAAATTCAAAAACATAATATATATAGGAATTTTTAATTCATGTCGATGAATAGGGCTCAACGATACGTACATTTGAAAAAAAATGATTCAATTCCATCGATTTAGTAAAATTTAAATGAAAGGGTAATATAATACGAAAAATCAAAGCAAAAAAGAATTACACTGGAACACTTACGATTCTCAGAATGGTGCTGAGACGATTGCTGACAACTCCCCAAAATTGTTCATTAGCCAATGATTTTTTGTACCCCTGAAGATGGCTAACCAATTGAAGGTAGATGTTACGACTTGTTTTTTCAGTGGGAAGAATGTCATTGAATAGCATTAAGGCTGGGCTTGTCAGATTTATTATCAATCTGAAACGAAAAATTTCAGTTGTGAGAAAAATCTCCTCAATGTAACACGTTTCATTAGAATAAACCTCAATTATTCCAAATATCTCACTATAGAACTGAGGATTTTCAATCTACGAATGTGTCAATTGCAGTCGAAGAGAATAATTTCAAAAAATTGATGGATAATTAGAGTCATTGAAATTATATTTGGAAAGAAAACTTCTTTTAGAATAATATCTTTTTAAAAAAATTGTTAAAAAATTGAATTGTTTCTTCTAAAACACTTCCTGTTCATAAATTAATAATAAAAATTGTTAAAAGTTCGAGAATCTGAGCTTTGGTGATAATTTCGAAAGAAAAATGATTCTAGTGTGGAAAATGACTCATGAATTATTCATGAAAAAGATTATTCAACGATTGTAATCATGCTAGTATATCATGAATCTTTCCCTAAAAATACTAGTGAATTTCCTTCAAATGTAGAAAATAATGCCTAGTAGTTTAAGCTGAAAAATCGAGTTTAGACTTTCAAAGTTTGAAGAATAAAATCACTCCCAAATATTTGCTACACTATTGAAAATTTTTGAATGAAATTTCCGTCACACTTTTGAAAATTCTTATGAAGTAACCGTTTCACTGAAGTTCCTATGAATTTCATAATTGAAAATTATCAATTTGAGGAAGAAATTGATAAAAACTGTGAACTGCCGTTCAATCATTCCATGAAATTTAATAAAAATTAGAAAAATTTACGTAAATATATTGAAAATTCAGCGTAATTTGGAGTAAAAATTCATGCCTTGATGGAGAATTGAACAAACTTATAGAATCTTCGTCTTCCTGTCGTTCAAAACTTCAAAATCCCATTAAATTTTACGTAAAATTTGTAATCTCATTATTCTTTCCCCCTTGAATCGACTTCAATGTCAATCAAATTTCAATTGTTTTCCAACAGTGTAATCTAGGATCAAATGGAACTTGAATGCATGTTCTAATGTTTGAATAAAAATACTGAGGAATACTTCAGTGAATAAAAAGGTCATTTGTCACTCCTTTCCCTCATCACTCATTCATTCAATTTAATTTCCTCATTAATTGAAAGACCCAGCCAGCGATTCCACCGAGAAATCATAATTAAAAACTCGAATCGTACTTTTCATGAATCCTCCACTTCACTTACCTCAGCAGAACATCCCAGAATTCCGTTTTCTTCGTGTGCTGAATGGCAATCTGGGTTAAATCAGTCTGGAGCAGCTTTGACTGTCCCAAATAACGACGAACAGTGTGAGAATCATCATCTCTCTTCAAATATTTTATGAGATCCTTTATCACATCTGCAAGAGAGAAATAAAATATCAGCACTCAATGTTGAAAGAATATAACGTTCAAGGAATATTAAAAACGAATATTGGAGAATGGATTAAGAATGAATTAATCAAGATTAATTTGCCACTCACTCTGGGCTCCAGCATCCAATCGGTATACCACTCCGTCAGAGTAACCAAGGGCTGCGCATGTTGCTGCGAGCTCAGCAGAAATATAATCACTCATGGTCCGTTATTATTATTCACCACTTATTTATTATCATCAACACACATTTTCATGTCGAAATGATTTTTTAACACGAGGGATTCACTGGATATGTTCGCCTAGAACAACAATTTATTCTTTTCTCTTCAATACTTGATGGATTTTAATCGTTATTCATGTTTTTTTCACTGACACTTTAATAAATGACTGATTGAATAATCAAAATTTGATGAAAAGATGAATCGCCAATACAAGAATTATTGGAAACATTAGCCTGATTCTCTGTTTAACCATCAAAAAACAAGTTTATTCAGGTTGTTATAGTTGTTTATAGGTCTTAATTAATTTAAGACATTGTTTATATTGTCATTATGAAATAATCATATGAAAAAAAAGAAATGAATCAAAATTTGTAACACAATATGGAATTATAAGGAAAATTCTATTTTATTTCTCTGCTTAGCCACAAAAAATAAAAGTTATTTACTTTTCAATAGTTTTGATGAAGTTTTAAAGCATTTTAATGTTCTTTTATGTTTATTGCATTGATTTTCTAATTATTATGAGTGAATAAACAATGAAAATTGATGAAAAAATTAATCAAAATGTCGAATACAGTAATCACTAAAGAATTCAATTTTGATTCTCTGTTTAACCCCAAAAAAACAATTCATTCATATTCGAGAAGCAACTTAAAACTCTCAATTTTAATGTTATTGATATTTCTCACTGATGTTTCAATGATTATTAGCACCTGAACATGTCCAACATAAGAGAAAATCATTGGAAACGTCCGATTTTAATTCTTTTCTACCTTAAAAAACGACAACTATTCACTTTTCAGTAATTATTTGTGAACTTCAATAAATTCACTTCCGATTCTCATCTTTCAATCATTATTTCGATTGTTATTAGCAAAAAACATATGAGAATTTATGAAGAATTCAATCAAAACATTGTCAGAGGTTAGGTTGACGCACGTGTGGCTTGTAACTGCGGTAATAACCTTTTATCGAACCTTCCACTGCACTTTGAGAACGCGAAACACTATTACAGAGGAAAATAACTGACGATGATCACTAAATAGACGAAAAACAATGCAAAATATGGGATTTTGTAGGACTCGCCTGTCGCTGACCACTGTCAAGCAACAGGTTAAGATACCGCGCGGGAAAACACGTCGGTTTACAATGTAGTGACGCCGGGTGTCTCCTGATTGGTGGCGAGAATCACGTATATGCTATATATACAGGGTAGGGTAACCAGACCAATAGACAGACGAGACAGACGGTTAGGGACAAGGGGATGTTTTTGTTTCAAATTGGATGTGCTTTTTTCAAATAGATGCATATAATGAAATTACATAATTTCCTTTTTTTTTAAGCAGACAAATATCAATATCAAATAGGGGAGGCTGGGGTAAAACGGACACTTTTGACTTTTTTTTTAATGTCAATGAGGGATTGAAATGTTGATAAAATTCAATAATTTTTTTTTCTCAATACAAAGAACAATTCTTTCCCTTTGTGACGAGCCTAAACTGAGCACAATTGATCAATTTGTTTCTGAGTTATGAATAATGTTAAAATAGTCTAAAGTGTCCGTTTTACCCCACCCGCCCCTATGTGAATCAAAGTCATCACAAACTAAAACCCGTTTTCTAACTACTCACACCGCCACTGAAGGCCAATACTGTACCTCGCGAGAATTTGTTTTTTTACCTTCAAAATGTTCATCAATAAAAAATAAGAAAATCATCGTATTATTATACATCAGTTTTATTATCAAAAATGGAAATTTGTAATACGATTTCTATTATATTTTTTATAGAATACTAAAAAAAGTTGGAATTATCCATCTTTTGGTCGGTATTTACTTATTGGTCTGGTTAGCCAATAAACATAACTTAAATTTTGAAGATGAAACTGTGAAATAAAAAACATTCTAGTTGAGTTCACACTCAATTGGCTGTCTTCTATTATTGATAATAATTAATTTAGAATTTTTACGTTCAAAATGTTCATCAATAAAAAATAAGAAAATCATCGTATTATTATACATTAGTTTTATTATCAAAAATGGAAATTTGTAATACGATTTCTATTATATTTTTTATAGAATACTAAAAAAAGTTGGAATTATCCATCTTTTGGTCGGTATCTACCTATTGGTCTGGTTAGCCAATAAACATAACTTAAATTTTGAAGATGAAATAAAAAACATTCTGGTTGAGTCCGTACTCAATTGGCTGTCTTCGATTATTGATAATAATTAATTTAGAATTTTTACGTTCAAAATGTTCATCAATAAAAAATAAGAAAATCCTCGTATTATTATACATTAGTTTTATTATCAAAAATGGAAATTTGTAATACGATTTCTATTATATTTTTTATAGAATACTAAAAAAAGTTGGAAGTATCCATCTTTTGGTCGGTATCTAACTATTGGTCTGGTTAGCCAATAAACATAACTTAAATTTTGAAGATGAAATAAAAAACATTCTGGTTGAGTCCGTACTCAATTAGCTGTCTTCGATTATTGGTAATAATTAATTTAGAATTTTTACGTTCAAAATGTTCATCAATAAAAAATAAGAAAATCCTCGTATTATTATACATTAGTTTTATTATCAAAAATGGAAATTTGTAATACGCTTTCTATTATATTTTTTAAAGAATACTAAAAAAAAGTTGGAATTATCCATCTTTTGGTCGGTATCTACCTATTGGTCTGGTTAACCAATAAACATAACTTAAATTTTGAAGATGAAACTGTGAAATAAAAAACATTCTGGTTGAGTCCGTACTCAATTGGCTGTCTTCTATTATTGTTAATAATTAATTTAGAAGTGCCGAAATAACACAGTCTTATGAAGAAATTAATTTTTCGAGATTAGAGAAAAGATTAGAATGGATAAAAAATTAGTGATAATTTCCTTGCAATAATAATAAATGTATTAATGTAACTCTTGTTTGCATTTAGAGGATCTCGCTATCTCAAGATATAATAAAACGCATTTTACTAGCGCTAGCACGTTTTATCCAATCGCGGGGAAACGAAAGGTAAAAGTAAATTGAAATTAAATTGAATGATAGAATTCATTGCTGCGGAAAATGTTTCGTTATTTTAGTGTTTACGTCGGAGTTACATCGACCAAAAAATAAAAATCATTGGCGTGGAAATTCACTTGATATTGTGTGTACGAGGTTTTGTGATAAAAAAATACACCTGCTCGTTTATTTTTTTCTATCCATGGATTTTCCAGTCTCACCGAATTCATTTTTTTATTTTTATTTTTTTATCGGCGATTCCAAAAATCCCACATTGCGGGGACTTTTCTTTGATTATTTTGAAATACGTTTCGGACTGGACAAACCAGTGGCCCAATTTCGCAGGCATTCAGTTATTGAAAACATGTTTTCTTTTATTGTCAATGATACTGTGGGGGAATTTCATAGTACACTGAGAGAAAGACACTAGAATTCTCAAATAAGTTTTACTTGTGCCAAAAAAATCGTTTGTTAAAAATGATCAAAAAGAATTTTTTGTGCCAAACATAAGAAGTGCGGGGCCGAGATAGAAAATTTTTATTACAAAAATAGATTTAGTCTTTTCCCAAGCATGACCTCGCTAATTACCAACAATTGAGGCGAAAACGATAACATGCATTCCAGTCTCCCCCACCTCACCAAAGCCCCAGCCATTCAAAAATCATGGACCGCGAATTGATAATAACAATTTAATTGCAAGCCCCATTGAATTATCTCCACCCCTATCCTCAATTAATTCACAATTCTCTCTCTGCTCAGCACGCCTGAAACAATGTCAACAATTTCTGTTCATTCGAAGCTGTCCGTCCAAAGTCAAGTGAAAACCACACATTCTACACTTCTCCCTCACCCCCTCACGCGCCCCCATATCGATCCCCGCAAAATAATAAACTTTGGCCAAGCAAGTGTTCAACACACACTTGTATACCTCGTTTAGCAATAACTATTCACAGAACATTACGCTGTTCACGGTTCCGGTGCATACACATCTCCCTTTCCAGCTCCACGAAGCGAGGGAGTCTCAACATTTTGTAAAATATAAATTTTGACGTTATCGCATTAGTAAAAGTGGTAACGTGGAGGTCATTGTGCAAACGAGATGATATTTTTCTCCCCTTCAAGCACTCAACCTATCTGCACACTTAATTTCTGCATGTAAAACTTCATGTATACACTGTGCAGAGTTATTTTTCATAAGATATGTTTTTTTTTTCACGGAAGCAGGTATGTACACCGAAAAACCGCTCAGCGCTGATATAATTACGCTGGCGTAAAAGCAACCCACCGAATCGCTATCTGTTATGACCCCCTCGAGGTACCTCACCAGCGGCTATAATTTTTCCCAGGCGTTAAACGACGGAGAGAGAGAGAGGAGAGAGAAGGGTGAATGGAAATATGAGAGAGAAAAAAAGAACGGGGGGATGGGGAGAGCGAGGGAGAGGGCGAAATAGTCTCGTCATTATAATTATAAGAGCGGCGGGCTGTGATTGTGTTGGAGGAATAGTGATTGCGCGTATCATAAAGAGAGCGGAGTGGGTGAGTGGAGCTAAGCGGTGGAGGGAGGTACTAGTGGCATTTTATCCGAGTTCAACTGAGGGAAATACCGGGGAGTCTAACGACTATCATATCTTCATCATAAATGAAATGCCTCACTTCCCTGAATACGAGATTTTCTTGGCTCTGAATGGACAATTGTGTGGAAAAATTATAGTGGTGGTAGAGGGGCTTCGCCTCCTGCTCGCCAATCCCGGTGACTCGTTGCAAAAATTGGCTATCAAAAGTTGTAATTCAATTCTAAATGCAAGAAGCAAAAAATCAAACATTAAAAGACTCTGACGACGGTGGAGATGGAAACATCAAAATAAAAAAAAACAAGTGGGAAACTCCTCTTAGAATTAAAAAATAAGAAATCGCTAAAAAATAAGAAATATCTTGATTAATCCGCCCCATCAGTTGTCCTCGTATTATTATTTTTTTCACTCATTTTTTTATTGTATAAATCACATAACTTGGGGTTTTCACGAAATTCCCATGTCACATTTTGAAGAAAACAGCCAATTCCTAAAAAATTTTGTGAAAAGGAGGATTCGAATTGCTAGGGCATATTTTTAAAAAATTATTATAGTTATAGTTATTTTTGCTAATAAATTATCAATACGCTTCCGAATGGTTCTTTGCACATCATTTCCTTCTATCATGTATAATTCGTTGTTTATTTCATTTTACTAAATTGAATAAGATTTGTTTTCAACTAATTTTGTCAGATTTTCAAGTTAGTTGAATGTTATCATCATCATTATTGTTATTATCCCTTTCTTAGTGTTGGAAAAAAATAACAGGAAATTAATTGCAAAGAAAGAGTTGAATTCAATTACCGCAAATGAATATTCAATCGACTCCTGCAGATATGTCCATGGAAAGAATCTTTCAACAACATGAGTGATAACATAAATAAATCAGATTCAAATGTCTTGTCATGTCGTGAACTCTTGATCCCCAGAATCAAAAATGTTATAAAAACCTCATTCCATGGGTCCAACGGCGTTAAGGTCAAATACCCACGACCCATCCTAATCTTCGCAACATATGTGCCTTGAATTTCGTTTGGAATGATCCTGGCATATATAGAGAGCATATCGTACCAGGGTCCACTCCATTGTCCACTTCTCAAGGGAAGCCAGTGGGGGTTAGTCCTCGGGGACTCCACTTGTGTAGCCACTGGGGCTTGATCCCTCGGAATTCGTGAAAAGCAATGTTTTCCATCTTTCTTCCACTCTTGACTTTATATGGCGAGCAGATTCCCTCGAGCTTGGTCACCTCTCAATGACCACTGCAGCAACTTAAGGATTTTTAACCTATCAACTGGACAACTAAGTTGAAGAGAAAAATAAAATTTACTAAATAAATCATTCATGTTACAAATTAGTTTTCTCATCAAATTAGAAGTGTTATGGCGTACTTTTCCGGTCTCAAAAACAATAATTAAAGAAAATGTTCATAAATAATGGAGGACTTGTGACTGCAGTGGTAACAGTCAAATTTTGATCGGGCAACATCGCACGCTTTGGCTAGTAGTGGGGTTGTAACAGTGAGATGAATGTT